ATGAAGATTTAAAGGATCCTCCAGATCTTTAAAACACAGCGATTGGATGTTTGGCAGAGGGTGGAGAATGGTGAAAATGAAGGGCATTTTTTCGTTAGAGACACCCCAGATCTCCAGGTTCTCGAGAGTTCCGTCCACGAGAGCCATGCATTGGCTCCAGTGGTCGAAACAGGAGGCGGTTCCTTGAACGGACAGGAGACTAAGGGTGGCGAGGACCGAGCCAGAAACGACTCGAGTGTGTCGTAGTTATCCATGGCGGAGACGTCCAAATGATGTAGAGCCGGGAGAATGAGATATGGTAGAATATCAGCCCAGTCGTCGGATTCATCTGCGACTATGGCGAGCCATCTCACATTGTGATGAGTTATCGCTGTGGGCGCATCTCTCGGGGTGAGGTTCGAATGAACATGTTATTTCGGTGAGGTTGGGGGCCAGGGTCAGCAGCTCCAAGTCCCACATTGGCCCCTCAAATTTCGTCAACTGCTGCGTAAATGTGCTCGGTATGAACCCTGCCCACGACTTCCGCAGCCGCAAGTCACAGAAGCGAGGTGAATTATCGAAGAAGGTAAGGGCGGGAATGTAGTCGCATCCAAGGGTCGCACCCTGAAGTAGTGGAAATGCGGCGGATTCCAGTCCCAGGGTCTGAATGTCTTGCCACCATATATCCATGGAAAGATCTTTCACTCGATGGGACCAACGATGAATGACATCTCGCAAACGACTGAGTGCAAAGCGGTTCCTCTCTCGCGATATAAAATCCAGCGATAAAGGACGGCTTCCTGCACGGGACAGCCATCTGTCGATGGAGTCCTCTATCAACCCCGCTTTTGTTACCACATCGGTGGCAAGTTCATCGAACCGAATGTGCAGTTCTGACCAAAGTATGGGCGTAGCGAGAGTAATGTCTCTCCACGCACGGCAAACGGCGGAAAGGATAATCGGGGCCGATCTTTTGTAAGTGCGGGGGATGAAGCATGTGCCAAAAACCAGAAGGCAATGGCCAAAAATTTCGGCTGTGATTTCGGTAGGCAGCGTCAAGATGGGATATGTCGCAGTCGCGTGAAGTTCGCGCTCTATATCTGACCGAGTTTGTCGAAGCTGGTCCAGTACGCGTTCTTGTTCGACAATTTCCGTGTCAAGCTTTGCGAGGCGTTTTCGGAGGTGGGCGGACATCGACCGGCTGACGGCTCTGATCAACGTCGAAGTTTGGGAACAAACGGAAGATGGCATACGCGCAAACAAACAACCGCCATGGCCCCGATTAGGAAGGACACTGAGAAAGTGGCATGGATTTTATTGGATGGATTTCTGATCGAAAAAAAAACGATTCAAGATAGCACCAGAGCCACTCAGAGTCAAGGTATCGAGCGGGATACAAAGATCTGCGACTTTACATCATCTTTTCGCCGCTGTGCATATTCTCCAACCCAAGAACCTCGCTGAAAAGCACCATCTCACGTTCGAGAACCGTCTTAACAGTTATTTCCCTTCGCCATCCATGGCCTTCGCCCGGAAACAGAACAAGATCCACCTTCCCCTTGTGCTCTTTGATCTTTTTCACCATCTCCTCAGAGACTCCACCATCTGGTCCGCAGGGACGACGGTATCGTCTTCCCCCTGAAAAATATATACTACACGATTAATCAAACGATCCAAATACCACATAACGAGTAGTATACGTACGAGGAGCGGCATCACGATCTTGTCCGCGTGATACAGTTACTCCAAATAAGTGACCGGTCATGTAATTCCAGCAGCTTTAACTGTTTATAGGAGATCCGGAAACAAATGAAAATTGTGCAGAGAGGTAGATAGAGGTATATTACATTGCTAGTACTTTGTGTGTCCACCATTGAATGCGATAAACAGCATCAAGAATTCTTGGCATGCTATCAATCACAATGTCAATGTCTGCTGATAGAATTGCATCCCATGCCTCGAATATTGCTTGCTGCAGCTCTAGATAATTTGTAGGCTGGATGGGACGGGCATAGATGTGCTCCTTGAGCACTAAGCAGACCAGCTCAATGGGGCCGACATCTGGAGAGACAGGGAATGGTGGAATGTTGGAATGTTGTGACCATAAACCATTCAGACATGGCCTTGGCACGATGAGCAGATGCACTGTCTTACTCAAACAAGAGATTAGGCACCCTCTCCACCATCTCTAGAAAGAATGGTAGAAAGTGCAGGTTCCAGAACCTGCTCGCAATACATCAGGTGGGGCCGGATGGATGACCCGGTCACTTATTTGGAGTAACTGTTAAATAGGGCTGCGCGCGCGCCACACGGGCTCACATGATGCCGATAGCAGAGGTAATACTCGAACTTGTGCAACACCTCGTCCATTTTCCGCATGTCGCTGACGCCGTTGTGCGGTGCGCCTGCGCGGAATGCCGTCAAGCTAGACAAACTTCGGGCAACACCTTGAGAATGTCTGAAAAAATCTGATGTACTTGTACGGTATATGCACGAATATCGAGGCATAAGTGGAACAGTTACGGGATACATGGAACGTAATGAATCTACAGCGGGGGTTTTAAAAAAATTAACCCATCACTGGACTCAGAAAAGATAAAACGTAGTTACTTTCGGCAGTTCCAAGGTGTATGTCCATACCCGAACGTGCCAATCGGGGAAAGTGACCAACGATCGTTTCGAGATGTTACCTGCGAGTGCCGAAGATTTTCCTAACCGTTTGGCCGTATCGGACTGCCAAGTCTGGCCTGCGACCCCTTGTGGCTTGCCACAACTCCCATGCGCCGTGAGGAAACCCCCTCGGGCTTTACTTTGCTCTAGCAGTTTCAATCCGCGGTTTAAATTCATACGGTTATTAGGCATTCAATACAACGCTGAATGGAAGTGAACTAAGCTAGCGCTTTGCTCCAATCTGAGTTCTTGGCAAACTCAGTCCACGTGCGCGGACGCCTTGCCAGACCTTTCTGAATGGGTGCGGCGTCACCCCCTAGGACACACCGCGGGTTGGTCAATGCTGTTTCCCAAGAAATTAGGGCAGTGCGCACATCCAAATTCATCCCAAGCTTGCATAAATTCGAGCATATCCAACGCAATATGCGGGGGGAGAGCTAACGCTTGGACGCCCTGCTTAAACTGCTCAACCGAGACCTGCTGGAATACAATCTTCTTTCCGGTTAGCTATTCCACGGTGTGTTAGCGAGGAAACGACAATATTAAAATAGGTCATATACCTTCGCTCAACTGCTGAGCCAAATCGGGGTAGGTGATCTTTTCGCCGTGCGCGACGATCTCGGAACCGTCTGGGAAGATAGGGTCCTCGAGCACCTGGCGCACAAACAGCCCATAGTCGTGGACGGCGTCGATGAACGGGATAATGGTGGTGGGCTTCACTGGCAAGCAATGACGAACGAGCCGTCGGCCTGTTTCGCGAGCATGGAAGGGGTTTTGCCCTGGAAGTTCTGTCCGTAGAACCCGGCCTGCACATCGACGAATTGGATGCCAGATTGACGGCCGTATTCGGTGATGACAGCCTTTCCATCGAAGTGATATACGTTCGCATACTTCCCGGAACTGAGCTTGTTGAAGGATGGGAGGCCAGACCAGACGATGCGCGAAACGCCACCTGCTTTTGCCGGCGTCGATGAGGAGTTTGCCTTCGCTGATTTCCTGTCGTGGTATGCTCAGCCGCCGCACAAAGCATGGAGCCATAAAAGACGGTACCTTCTCCACATCAATATGTTCCCAGAAGTTGGTGACGAGCTAGAATTTCATCAAGATGGACATACACAGAAGAAGAGATCACCTTACAAAAGCGACATCCGCACCGACGAAGGCCTTGTAGACCTCCTCCTTATTCTCGACAACAAGCGACACGACCACGACTTCCACGCCCAATTTGATGAGCTCCTGTGCGGCGGGCTTGGCAGCATCGCGAGTAAAACCTCGGACGCGGTAGGGCTTGTCGGATTCAACCAGCGCATTGATAACACTGCCGCCCTGGGTTCCAGTGGCACCGACAACGGCGACGAGCGTGGCTGATGGATCTTTGCTGATGGTCATCTTTTTGGGAAAGCTAGGTAGAGGGCGACCAGAGTTACCTGGGGTATATATATGCATGGATCGACCAGTTATTCGCCGACGATTCGGGAAAGCCCACATTGTGATTTGACCATGACGATCAGTCATTCGGCAGCCGCCCGTAAACTAAGAATGTTCAAGTGCGCCAACGCCAGTATACAACCCAAGAACACCGACCCGGCAGACGGCACTGGAAGGTCGTGTCAGGGCCCACTGCCTAACCCGACTGTGCCGACCCGCCCAAGAAATAACCTACCAGAAAAACCGTGGAAAGGATATTCCGATGCTTGGCGGCTGAAAGGCTGAAAGTGCGGGATTGTCGGAAAATAAAACGGCGGTAGAATGGAGTTATAAGCTTGAGGCCAATGAATTATCACTCGAATGATTAACGGTAGTATTAAATGCACTTAGGCTTTCTCGGGTTCCTGAGGTAAACGGATGGCCAAGAAAATTGTACAGTGTACTCACTGGTTCGAAAGAGATGGACAGTGCTGCCATAATTCAAGCCAACTTCGACCAGACCGATGTTCATCGTTGTCGTTCAAAGAAAACGACAATTTTGAGGCCTCGCCTTGACGTTGCCAGTTTACCTAGGTTTCTCGCCAAATGTCGAACAAAGCAGCGGGGGGCTTGTGTGCTCTCTACCGTGGGAGATCCAAGGGTGGTGCCAGGACACAGGACGTACTAGAGCTGGGCACCCTGACGGACATCGTCGTTGAGGCTCTGGTCAGCGGTTTGGCACAAGCGACGCAAAGAGACAACCGTCTGCGTCCCGATTAGGAAGGACACAAATATTGTTCCGTTCACTAGTTAGGGATAAGGATGGAATTTATTATCTGGATTGTGGTCAAAAAATACACTAGAGCCGAGAAGTTCAAACAAGACAAAAAGGTAAGGGGGTTTGAGAAGAAGAAGAAGATGAAGAAAAAAGACGAAAACCGTACTGCATTAAGGGGGAATCGAACCCCCGGCGGGTCGAACAATGAATTATATACTTTCGAATGGCAACGACCCAGGTTACCACTACCCCACTAATGCGACGTATAACAATACAAAAGGAATCAACTTCACCAGAAATCATAGGCATCAGAAGGCGAAACATCCGCCCCAATTTATGTCAGATCTTGATCCCGCAGGCCAGCCAAAGAAATTCAAACTAGTCGTGGATACAATACATAGATGCCCATGCCCGTCTACACCTGCCCTAGTCTACCTCGTCTTCTTCGTCTCGCCGGCCGCGTCCTTCTTCGTCTCACCCGCCTTATCCACATCCGTCGCCAGCACCTGCCCGTACTCGTTCACGCGCTTCGGGTCGATGCGGTATATCCAGCGCTGTGCACGCCGCCCCGTCAGCACCGAGGCACACGTATGTCCGCAAACGGAAGCGGAAGTAGACCCACCTGGTATAGGAAAATGAGGAACACGACGTCGTCGCGGAAACACGCGAGCCGGTGCAGGAAGGGCATCTTGATGCAGAAACTAGCGTATTGGCGGGCATCGTCAGCTAGCTGGCAGGATCGCAAGGTAAGGACCCAGCAACGTACGCGAAGAAATCGTCCACGACGGTCGAGAGCGTCTTGTAGATCATCGCCTTCATGGGCATGTGCGCCACGCTCTGTTTGCGGCGGCACATCAGCGGGTCGTCGACCACCCTGAATGGGACCACAGACCTTCAGCTTGTAGTTGATAATCAACTGCGGCACGAGCTGCGCGAAGCCGAACATGTACACGAACGACGTCAGCGTCGAGATCACGAAGCTGTACCACCCGCGGTGCGTCTCGTACATCAGCGAGTAGACGGTGTAGGCTGCGAGGAGGGGGATCGCGACCCAGGAGACGTATTTGAATGCGAGCTTGTCGTATCTGCGCGAGCAGTCAGTTAACTAGAGCCTGAAGTGTAGCGGCCGCGTACTCTTGCGTCTTCTTCTCGTCCTCGCTCAGGACGTGTTTATCTGAGAGCACCGTTGGTCACGCGCAAACCAAATTGCGAGGGGCCACGAACCTTTGATGTCCGAGTTTGTAGGGTATGAGGGCACCCGGAGCAGGTACCACGGAAATGTCGACCGCCTTTGTGATCTAAACACGATCGTTAGCACGCGAATCGAGTAGGTAGTCGCCAGAGCGTCGCACCTTCCACGCCTCGATTAATACACCCGTCCCCGAGCCGAACAAAATCATCCAGCTGGTGTTCTCGTTATTGTCGATGAGATATAGCAAAATGATAAACTGCACGAAAACGTTCGTGATGATCTAGTGGATGTAATAAATCGCGGTTTCTGAAGCATAATAATAACAAAACAAACACACCGTCCGGACAGACACACCGACCATCTCCTTCTTCTGCCTCCAATGCGAGACATCCGACTTGAACGCGAGCATCTCGAACCTGCACCAACTTGAGTCCAGCACGCAGCAACGGACGAGATACTCACACTACATGCAAGACTACTGACGAGCGCCGTCAGGCCGAGGAGCCACGGGTTCGTCTCCAACAGCATGCGCTTCACCTCGTCGAGCTCCGGCGCCCGCACCGCCGCCCTGCGTCTTCACCGCCTCCTTGAACCCATGGGTCATCGACGCAAACACCTGGAACTTCATGAACGACATCGGCTGGAAGACGATCTGCAGCGGGAGGCGCGGCGTCGTGGCGTTGAGCTCGACGTAGTGGTCGCGGAGGTGCCAGAACTCGTTCGGGAAGATGATGGGCTTGTAGAAGCCGCGTGTGCCCGTTTCGTCGCGCTCATTGGGGACGAGGTGCACGTCTGAGACGCGGTGAGCAGATTGTCTGGAGACGTTGGATGTACGCACGTTCGAGGATGGGGGGGCGGGAGGGAGCCGAAGGGGACCATGGCGGCATCTGAGATGAGCGCGAGAGTAACGTTCTGCGTTGGGGGTCAACTTTAAGTTTGTGAGAGAACGGAGAGCGCTCACACTATGCCAGTGCGCTGTTATTACGTCTGGCTCGACCTGGCGATGCGAATCAGTATCAGGATCAATCCTTTGAGCGTCTAACGCACTTCCTCTAGTTCCTCCGTGGCGTTTGACTGGAGGAGATTGTGTTGCTTGCGCACCTTCAGCCTCAACATGTGCGGCGTCAGAACTAGAACGCAGCATGAGCTGCATCACAAAACGGATAAGCCAGCCGTACGTTTGCGGACGTGGTGGATGTTCTCCGGGTTGAATGTAGGATTTTGGGGGTCCGGGTTCGTTTCATCTTTTGTGAGGAATATGTCCGCCCACAGAGAGCCGTTGTTTAATACGCTCTAGGGAAAAGTTAAACGCAGCTAGAACACCAACGAGGTACAAACCTGCGGGAAGTTGATGTTGTATTCTACCACCCGTGCGTCGTTATAATCGCCAAAGGTGATGTTTTTCCACACAAAGTTGGGCAGACCCTCGTCATGGTCCTTTCGATAGCTGGAAGTCCATTTCGACGAGAAGACGTCGCCGATGGGCGAGGTCGACAGGAAGACGTGCATATCGAGCGACTGGCCAAGGGGCCATGCGAGGAGTGCCTGTGCAGGTGGCAGAGTCCGCGGGTCGACATCCGGTACACCAGGTGTACCAGCCGGTACCGGCGCCTTGGCTGGAGGACCAGCATTGAAAAGATACTTGGACGCTACACGCGACAATGGGAGATCAGAAGATGTTATTTGGGAGGCCTGGGACGCGAACCTAACTGCGAGACAGTCCATATGAGGAACGCTTGCTGAAATTTTCTCAGAGTCCAGCAGAAATTGAATGAGGCCGGTAGACTGACCTGGGCAAGTCCAAATATCTTCCGGAACTGTCGACTCTTCTTGCTGGGCCGGGGCCTGGGCTGCAGGAGCAGCAGCAGGGGCGGACATGGTCGTGTCCACTTGAAGCCTGGAACTTTCGAATTCAATACCTTACATCACTCCTGCACTGCACTTCTATTTTGATATAAATGAGTAAACCGAATGTGTCATCGTTCAACTGTGCGCGAACTACCGGGCGGGAGCACCGCGCCGGAGGACACAGGCCACCATTTCGACGCGAAGACAAGATCAGCCTCGGAAATTCTTCCGAGCTACTCAGCGCGGATGACCCTCTTGGACCTATATAAACGTATCATTTTCCGCCAGCAATACAACTCAACTACCCCCCATGCCTACTCAGCAAGTCATCGTCGTTGAATCTCCCAAAGCTCCGTTCGTCCTGGCCACGCGCGAAATTCCTTCTCCTGAAAAGGGGGAGGTCCTCATCAAGACCATGGCTGTCGCATTGAACCCCGCCAACTGGATCCAACGCGAGTATAATATCCTGGTCGATAAATACCCGGTAGTCCTCGGCAACGACGTCGCCGGCACAGTTGAAGCGCTTGGCGAAGGCGTAGAAGGTCTCAAGAAGGGGGACAGAGTGTACGCAGATCGCTGCCTATCATTGCATCATCGAACCGACCGTGATTCAGGTTCGGGAGAGCCGTGAAGGGAGGGTTCGGGCAGTACACCGCGGTTCCTGTTGCAGGTTTCCTCGTCCCCGTACGTGATCGATGGAGTGGGGTTTGAAATATTGTTGAATTGCATTCAGGTCCCAGAGAACGCGAGTTTTGATGAAGTAGCGACCATTCCGATGGCGTTTACGTCGGCGTGCATAGGTCTATTCGCCGCGGCACCCATTGGCCTTGGGCTTAATACCACGTTTTCGTGCGACACACCGCTTCAGGACGGGTCCGCGCTTGTAATCGGCGCTGCGACGTCGGTGGGTCAATTCGGTGCGTGATTCTTCTCTTTCATCGACGGCGTCAGTATTACTCACGAAAGTATATAGCCATCCAGCTGTTGAAATCCCTCGGATTCTCGCGGATCGTCACGTACGCATCTGGAGTGCATTCTGGAATATCTTCGCCAACTCGGTGCGACCGAATGCATCGATCGCGGCGAAGTTCCCCTAGAATCCCTGGCCGCTGCCCTGAGAGCGCCAGTCAAGGTGATATATCACACCATAGACCTGGCGGCACTCAACACAGCGTACGATTGCGTGATGGAGGGCGGAAGCATCGTCACCTGCCAGCCGACGGCGCCATTTGACCAGGATGTGGAACGTAAGAAGCTGTTGTTTGTCCGCTTGGCGCCAAACCCCGCTACGATCGAGCAGTTCAAAAAGAGCCAGGAGCTGATGGTCAAGAACGTGTCCGAGATGCTAAAGAGGGGGATTATTACGGTACGCCGTGACTGCGTTCAGCTTTGGCTTGATCGCTCATCCCTCTTGGTAGGGCAACCGGTATGAAGTGCTGCCAGGTGGGGTTTCAGGGATCTTGGGGGGGTTGGAAAAATTGCAGAAGGGAGACGTGAGGGGCGTGAAACTTGTGGCCCACCCACATGGCGCAAGTGCTTAGCGGCCGTCGACTGGTAGGAAGCATGATGCTTGAGGTCGGGGGAATGCTAGTACGAGTTTAGAATGTATTAAAGCGTCTGTCTGCGAGAGACTAGGGGAATGCTGTAATCCAGTCCTTAATCCAACAAGCTGCTAGTAATAGACCTTGTTTCCCCGCGCATTGAAGACGTCTGACCTTGGCCTGACTCCACACAAATATCTTGCAAAGACCCAGAGTGGCGAGAGCAGTTTGAACCAAGGAAGAATATTTGTCCTTGTTTCCCTGGTGTTGACTTTTGCGGCCGATGCCGAAGAACAAGTGTGACAAGAGATGTGACTCAGACGGGTTTGTGATACAAGGCGGCGGACGTCCGACCAACTACGCTACTATCACAGCGCCCGGGCAAGTTCTACCTCGCCGACATGCTTACAGTGGCCCACTTCGGAATCCGGTGTGGATTCAGCACGCCAGACCTTAAAAACCGCTCGGCCGCCGACGATGTCAGCGATTAAACGCCGCCTCCCTCTTGGAAGTTTCTCCCATGGCTTCAAGTTGGCAACAGATTGCTGCAGATAAAAAGTCCCATCAACTCGACTCTGTTCCGAAAGAATGGATTAGCTCCGCTCAAAGTCTGCCCTCCGAAAAGACGCTCAATGTAATCGACTTTCCTCAAGAAAGCAATGTCTTGTCTGCGCTTGAT